GGGGCGCGTGCTCAGATCTTCAGCCTGGGCTACCTGCATAAGTAGAAAGTTTCAGGTCGGTCGTTAATATTTGAGATATTGACGACTTTACAAGACTTTGTTATAAACCACCAGTTACTGCGTCGTACAAGATAGCATTCCTCTTCAGAAGTCTCTCTTTTCCCACCCTATTCTTCGTTATTGCATTTTGGCCTTCTGATCGACTACTACCATGTTCCAGCTCCGACACGTAAAGCTGGTGGTCTGGAGCCAAGGATTTATGTACAGTTAATCTCTATATCTACTGAAGTAACTCGTGCCCGAAAGAGAATACAGCCATTTCCTAGGTGATCCTGCCATGTAAACCTCATTGTGCGTTAACAGTGCTTGAAACACAACGTGAATTATTAGTGCATAAATAGTAATAATAATTATTATTATTTTCTGTGTTAATGCAGGAAACTTATAGAATAGATGAACGCATGCCACGGCCTCAGCCAGAATCTCGACCTCATGCATTCACATAACATTTACCTAGATTTTCCATGTCTTGTAGGGTGGTTCCGTCTATAAAAATGGATAAGATATCCGGAAGAGTGGAAGAGTGCTGGCAGTAGCGTACGTTCGTTACTGAAAAGAAACAATGGACACATAAGATACTGGCATCAGGAGGCAGGTTGGGATTAAAATCTAAGGCATGAGTAATTTTCTGATTGGTGCGAATATATACTGGCGATATGCTTGTTGAATGGGGAAAATTTTCTTAAGAGGATACATTTGTCCACAAACGTTCGAGATGTTTCGACCGACATTTACCTTCTTGATCACCGCCTTTGCATTAACTCACATGAAGCTTTGGTCACTTTAATGATTGTCGTCAGTGGAAAAAAACAAGTTTCCAAATGAGTGTATCTGTAGAAGAAGTAGGGTTGTTAAAAAATATAAGTAATTCCGTATCACTGTTACGTTATCCACAATCTGCTCTATAAATCCAGCACTTTTCCTTCACGATCTATTTGGCACCAGACGACGAACTGGACTGCCGATCTTCTAATCTTCGCAGCGTAGTAATCTGCATGGAATATCATAATAATCCCTATTCGATTCACTGTTGGATGAAGCCACTCCAAGGTTTAGTTATTTCTTTTGTTTTGCGATTCTTTTTTTTATCTTGATCCGAAAAAGTTATCAGTCATCCTGCCATTGACCAAAAAGTCATCCTATTGGTCATTAGCTCTTTTCTGAAGCCCAGTCTAATAACTCTTTGGCACAACGTTGGGAGGTACTTCCTGAACGTCTCCTAACCACTCTACTTCAACGTTTTCACTAGAGCAGTGTCATTGAGAACATCTGTTTGTTTGTGTTCTTACCGATTCATTCGTCTTATCCTTTCTATTTCTCCTTGTTATTCCCAACGTACACCTTTACACGCTTCGATGGGTAGTCTGCAGCTTATGAATGGCTTTAAGGCAGAGGGTCGACGATGAGCACACATCGTTTAGCACTGGAAGCACGAAAACTTCCCGTACCTGTATGGAATATATGCCGAATATCTGGTTTGCGGCGCTGCTGATCATGGAAGATATGAAAGTAAAGAATGATTAGAGTCAGCAAGAATCTTCTACTCCAGCTGTACTGATCTTCTACGAGTACTTTGATTTACTGTAGACACTTTCCACAGAGAGTAGGGCATCGTTGGGTCCCATGATCGAACCATTCTTGTTTGCCAGCTTATTTCTCTTTATCTTCTAACATCTTTTCTTATCTTTCATTCTCTTGTGTTTTTCGTTGTTCTTTCTCTTTTTCGTCTTCTTGTTACATTTTTACTACTTCTGATTATTCTTCATTTTCTCTCTCGTGTTCTTCGTGGTTTCGCTGCCTTCTCTTCTTTGCTCTCTTTTTTCTACCTCGTCTTCGTCTCCTTCGTCTTCTTCTGTCAGATGATCTTCTTATGATTGATTTTCTTTTGGTCCATATTTTGCTTTAATTTCTGTATTAATTTTTAATGTCAAAAGTTACGGCAAGTACGGTTGACTTTAGTACTACTGCAGTACTGATGAATAAGGATGAATGTCATTGCATAGGATCATCCGTCAGTTCCGCCTTGCTTTTAGATGTCTACAGGAATTGCTCAATCAGTTAATCGCGAGATTCGGTACCGAGAAGTCACGTGTTCGAACCCCGGTTCAGTCATTAGCCTTTTTCAGTTCGAGGTATACAAATGAGTGCCACTCCGCTGGAAGGAAACAAAAATCTACCCATTATCCTTGTGAGTGTAAAATAATGCATCCTCGTTTATGGCATAGAAAAGAAAGTGGCGTCGCACCATGCACTTCATGAAGAAGAAAAGAAGAGTGCATCAAGTAGAAGTATGAAGAAGACTGAAATCCCAACAGCTACAAACTGTCACTACTTTCTCTTTTAACTACTGATGCCCGAATTACACGTCGAAAACTGAAAAGTTGCTTACTTTAGAGCGATATTGCGGCCGGCAATGCAGTACAAATGGTAGGCATTGCACATTGTGTACCGTAACATGACACCGTTCCCTTGTTTC